GAACGGCAGTGTATATATATATATATATATATATATATATATAAACATTTAGTATTTAAAATATTATTAAATTAAATTACATAATATAATTTAATTTTACCATATTGTGTGTGTATTTATTTATTTTTAATATATAAACTGAAATGAGATACACACATCGCTTATCTTATACTCAACTTTTAACAAAGCATGAACTTTCTAGAAGTTCTCATGGATTACTGCTGTGGAGGAGGGTGAAGAGAGGAGGAATGGGAGAGAGAGAACAAGAGCATGAAGCACTCATGTGAAAATATTAACTCTGGTCTTATCTAAATGAAACTGGAGTGAACAGGACGACCAGACAGAACTTAGTACAATTTGCATATGAAAAAAAAAGCTGCAGATCAGGGCTCATTATTTAAGGAACTGTAAGTTTCTTATACGCCAAATCTCATTAAAGCTGCTGCATTCACGCTTTTGTTTACCGCAGCTAATCGTGTCATTTATCTTTATAGTCGGGCACCGCGTGTATGTTTGCTGAGATTAATACACATTTGAGCTGCTGCCTGCTTCAGCTGGCGCAGATGTATAATTGATTTTAAAGTGAATCTGAGCTGTTGAGCCATAAAATAGGTATATTAGCCTGAACATTAATAATGCAAATCAGTGCCTGATATAGCAGCTGCCAGGAGAGGACCCTGCCCTTTTACCCACAATGTACTGAGATAGGGGTGCTCCGATCAGGATTTTTGCGGCCGATCGCCGATCACAGAAAGCAGTATCTGCCGATACCGATCACCGATACCGATCTTTTTAAAGCCTTCTTTTTATCATTTATAACTATAGTGATACTCCAATCAGGATTTTTAGACATTTATTCAGGGCCTGAATTTCATTTTTGAAAATGGGGGTAATTCCCCTCTTAGGTGACTCTTATGAGAGGGGAAGCAGCTTTCACACAAGAGTCCGCTACTGATCCGTGGCTGTTTACCACAAACACAACATTTATCCATTATTTTGATTTCAAATCCAAACATTGTCACTGAAAATGCTTTTTCAGAATAGCTTTTTTTTGTACACAGTACAGAAATACAATCTTTAACAGGCATGTTTAAACACAATAAATATAAGCAACACATTATTCAATGCATTTTAATTTTGCATTTACTTCTAGATTTATATATTAAGTTGCTCAAGCAAGTGGCAAAACATTTAAACTACTTTTCTTACATTATCACAAACTTACCATTGACAGAAATAGTCAGCTCTACTAAAAGTGCTCTTTTCCTTTAAACCTAGCCAAAAAGCCATATGTGTTGTTGACTGAAACACAGTAGACTTTAATAATATGCATTTATGGTGTAATTACTACATTTTCGTGTCAATCCATGTTCATATTTACTGCAAACAATGCGCTGTTACTTTAATTCATTGCTTGCAGCGCAGCAAAAATATACTCTGTGTGGAAACGATCTCTGCTCTGCTGCAGACGCACCGCTCGTGGAACTCACTGCCGGACCGCAACCGTGTGCTGTGTGCACGCTTTATTAATCCGTTAACATGAGCGCGGAAAAAATACGCACTGCAAACTGAGTAATGTGAACCTGGCATTATGTGTGTGCGCTGCGAGTGTGCATGAGCGCACGGTCTCCAGGAGAGCAGGCGAGCGCTGAATGATTAAACACTGGCAAGAATTAAAAAGTAATGCAATTTATAAATGTTAGTGACGATGTGACACTGCCTCGATTGTGCAAGTGACAATTCCTGTCATGTGCAGCTCGCTTATAGTCAGACGCGATGTGGTGATTTGAAGCCATTTGTGTATTTTGAGAAGAAAGAGAGAGCGCGCGCGGTGGTTCACTCACGCTGTTTGTGAAATTACGTCTCACACAAGGTGAGTACCTCACCTTCAGCATTATAATTATTTTACCAGCACCGGACAGAGACTGAGACGGTGCCGCTGCATGTCGTGCCAAACCTCTCACGGCAGCGTCATCAGCTTGAGATCGTTTTTTTGAGATAGGCCTTTTTATAGACCGCCGATCAAACATCCCAACGTGATTATCGGCCGATAGTGATCGGTAGCCGATTAATCGGAGCACCCCTACACTGAGATACAGACAAGGTTAGCTCAGTTCATCTTCTGCCTCTCATCCCTTTTCATTTTTTCCCCCTCTTCGAGTCTCGTCTATTTTTTAATTTTGTTCTCTTGTCCTTTGTCTCATCTAGTCTCATTTACAACTCTACTTTTTTCTCATGTCTTCTTTTATATTCTCTTATAATTTCTCATCAATAAGCTATTTTGTTTTTCATCTTTCTTAACTTTCCCCCACTTTTTTTTTTTGTTTGTGCTTGTTTTGGTCTTGCTTGATCTATTTTTTTCTTGGCTTCCCTCTTCTGGTCTTGTCTTGGTCTTGTCTCTTCTCATCTTGTCTCATCTCGTCTTTTCAATTCAAGTCTCATCCCTTCTCTTTCTGTCTTTACAATCTCTTTGTTCTGTTCTCTTCTCAACTTGTTTAATTTCTTCTCTTCTTGTCTCAACTTTGCTCTCATTTTTTTCCTTTTCTTGCCTAGTTTTTTTTCTTGTTTTTTTAAAATAATTTTTTCTTTTGTTTTCTTGTCTTATCTCTTAAATAAGTTCTCATTTTGCCTCTTTTTATCTTTTCCCTTCAGTTCTTGTCTCATCTCATCTCATTCTTTTTTTTTTCTTTCTTGTCTCATTTCTTCAATTTTATTTTTTTCTCATCTCTTCATCATCTTTTTTGTTCTCATTTTTTCTCCTTTAGTTTCATCTTTTTTTCTGGTTTTGTCATCTATTCTCTCATCTTGTCTCATATATTATTTTCTGTTCTCTTCTCATCTCTCTTCTTTTGTCTTTTGGTCTCTTCTAATCTTTTCCTGTCTATTTTTGTTTCTCATCGCACCTCATTTTGTCTCTTCTCAACTGTTTTCTTCTGATGATCTCAGTTTTCTCTTCCCTTTAAGAATACAACATCTTTTTTTAGGCACACCACACAACAAACACACATACTAAAGCAGGGTGGGAGAAATGTTGTGGTGAGCTCCTGGAGTCGTGTATTTCCTGTGTGTGAGCACATCCTCCCTGGAAGAACCCTTTTTTAGCTGTGTATTCTGTGAGAGCTGTCAAAAGTGTTTTCATTGCTGTCAACTGATATTGAGTGACTCGTGACAGGTTTGGGAAATCATAAGTGCACATATGCCAGCTCTGCACGAAGGTGTGTTTGGAGTGATTTCTGAAATCTGTGTGTCGTGATTTATTACTGAGCAGTGGTGACTGCTATTTCACATTCTTGTTTTGGGAAAAACATGAAATTAATACAGCATGTAAATTTCAAAGAGAAAACGTGATAAAATAAGGCCAAGAATAACACACATCAGAATCACTCTCTCTTTCTCTCGGCAGAGCAGCATCAGAGAAAAACAGATGGCAGTAAAATTCCCTGAAGTTGCCACTTCATTTAAAGTGCTCATGTGCTTGAAAACATACTGTTGTGATATTCATCCTAACTTTCAAGTGCTGCTGCTCTTGTGACAGTGTTACATATACACAGCCTCATCCAGACATGTCTAATTACTAGTTCCTGATTGACCAAGGTTAAGGGTTAAGCATGATTTTTATCCTACCGAGCTGATGTTGTTTCTGTCTATATGTGTGTTTGTAGGTTATCCAAACATTGTGGCAACGTACGGTCGTGGATACACAGGATTTTCTCCTAGCTACAGTTACCAGTTTCCAGGTGAGTTTGTCTGTGAGTCTGTCAGTCTGTCTATCTATCTATCTTATCTATCTATCCATCTATCCATCTATCTTTGTCTGTCTGTCTCATTATGAAACTGCAAACCGTCATGTAATTCAACATCATTTGGGAGCATGCACACGTGTGAAGCAAGTGTATGACAATGTGAGTGAATGGTGTTTGTGTGTGTGTTTGTTAGAGGCGTGAAGGTGAGCACATTTCTCTGCAGCCTGGTGGCAGATATTAGTGTTGATATGAGTGTCCTGTGGATGGCCACCTTCCTGCTGATATCATGAGCAGAGCTAATGGGTTTTTCTTCAGTGGGTGTAATGGATGTTTTGATGGACGTTTTGAGCATGTTGTAGTGCGCATTTGTAGTTTCAGTGTAGTTTTTGTTCTTTCTTTTTTTTCTTCTCTGTTTTAGTTAAAGAAAAAAATAATTAGCTATTTTTGTTTTCGTTATTGATAGCAACACACATCAAAATATTACTGAGAGGTGTATGTGGAGGGATGTATGAGTTTTCTCTTTCTCACAGAGCTTAGTAATTCTTCAAACATTTCTATTCAGAATAGTCATAAGTTTTATTTGACAGGGTTGACTCATAAAAAAGATACACATACACAAACTGACAGTCCCATTCACATAAACACACACATTCTCTCTGTGCTCTGATCTGTTGTGAGCCTCAAACTCTTGCACAGTTACTCATCTTTATGTGACGGCACCTGACACTGATATACCATCAAATCAAACTACAACAACATCTGTCTCTTTCTTGCTGTTTTTTTAGTACTGAAGCTAGAAATGAACCCTGAAACAGGACAGCAGTGGAAAATTTGTGCGCAGACACACACACACACAACTTAAAGCCAGTAATTCTCTCTCACACAAGTCTGAATCCGTGTGAGATCATGAATGAGCCACTGACAAACCCAGTGATCTCTCCGTCTCTGCTGTCATTATGGAAATCAGCCATCTGTAAGGAGACTTTGGGAGAGCCGTTGTGCCCCTATTCTATTTTTGATGCTCTGTCTTTGAATCATCTCTACTGTGCATTGAATTTTGAATCTAGGGTTTTTGTTTCCTGCTTTCCCATACTTACAGGTGTAATGTGCATCTTTTGGCTATTTTTGTTGTTTTGCAGTAGGGCTGTCAAAATGGCTGAAAAACTAAATTAGATTTTTTTATTTAAATATTATCAGTATTTGAATTATATTCGAATTTAAAAGGCATAATTTCAGTTAAGCTTTTGGCTTCTCTCCTGAGGCCACAAGAAGGCGCATCGAACAAAATATTATCTGTTTTTATACAGTCTATGAATATTATGCACGTTTCTTCAAAGCATAATAAAATAACATGACTATCTTTGAAAACAGTGCATAACATTTAAAATAATGTTTATAAACCATATATAATTAATAAAGTTGCTTAAACAATTTGAAACAAAACAGCATCATGCATGTATGTATAGTTTAATACAAAGGACCGTAAACCAATCACAAAGAGTACTTTCTTCATTTAAAAACTTGAGATGCAGTGGGATGGGGAAACCCGCCAGTCTCGAGACATGTTTTTTAAAAGTTGAACTTACATTAATTTTACATAGCTTTCTAAACATGCGGATCTCTTGTGCGAGACGCGAGTGCAGTGGTGATAGATGTCCCTCTAGAAAATGCGATAAATATGCGTTCTTGTGTGAACGGCTTGGTTTCGGTTTTGACGTAAACAATTGTTCCCCGCATTGATTGTTCTCTTACATCGACGTCGTACGTCGACTTTATGTGTGTGTGTGTGTGTGTGTGTGTGTGTGTATACACACACACACATAGATAGATAGATAGATAGATAGATAGATAGATCGATCGATCAAAGACAAACACCTGAGGCTCTAGCGTTTGCAGGCAATTTTTTTGCAGAGTTCTTTTACTCGTTCTCATCATGAAAGCTCTTCAGACCTTCTCAAGTAACCCACAGATTTTTATACCAAGCTATGCTGCTCTAGTAGTCAATGTCTTTCCTAGCTGTCTGGAGTTTTTTTTAAATGCCTAAAGATGTTTCTTAAGTGTTTGGTGAAGGCCATTAAAATGCATAACAAATTAGAAGTGTTTACTTGGGTAATAATGAGGTGGCCTTGCTAATTGATACTAAGTGCTTCTAGCTAACAAGACAGGCTGCTCGTTTAAAGGGCGGAGTCCTTCCTGCTGACACCCTGAGCTCCTCGAGTCCTCAGTTGATCAACACTGACACCTGTTACCCAGAAACCCTAGAATATTTCATAGAATTTTTTGTCATATTTCACATAAATTCTTTTTTTTTTTTTCTTTGAAAGTAGTCTCAGCTATACTTTACACATTTAAAATCTTCACCTAAGGTCTGCAAAAACCATCATCCTGGAAACATTTCCATTAGAAACAGGCCAAGCGCTTAGGCTCTTTTGTGCCTGGGCAGGGAATGATTTATTTTCGACAACAAAGTTCGGCCCCCTTGATCGCGTTTCGGCACAAGGGCCCGATCTGTCGAAAGATGCAGAGAGGTGGTTTTGTTTTATGATTAGATGAGCGGTAGGAAATGCGTGTCACCTCCGTGACATCTGCTTCAGAGCGGTGCAACTATACTTCTCCATTACACACACACACTTACACACATGATTCATGGCCCATATGTTTCCAAAACAGAAACATTGTTGAGATGAGATCGTACTCTTGTTGGAGTTGCACAGTCACGGCTGTCCTCCTGCCCATAAAATCGTCTCTCATTATGGTGTGGGGCGAAACTCATGGCTGGCTGGTGATGTTTGAAGGTTTTGTGATGTCCAGGGATCTTTCTGGAGATTTCTACTACCTCCTTCATTATTAAGTTTAATGGTGGATGAAAGGGCTAAGAAAAGATTGAGCCCTTTAATCTGCCTGGCAAAATTACTTTTTGTCCCCTAATCAAACATCAGAAGACTCTCACAATTAAGATCCAGCACAGTAAATGGTTTCATTTTGGGCAAAACCTCTTGCGTATGAAAACTGATCTAAGTTTAGACACCTGTGCACAAAAACCCATTCATAATGGCTCTTCTGAGCGGTTATACTGTCGTGTAGGAAGCAAAGAAGTGTTTATATGTATGCGTGTTGTGTTCTTCATATAGACACCACCTGTGCCAAAGGCTCCTGAGATTCCACCTTTGATATCGCATGAAAAGCTTTCGCAAAACTACAAACAGCGCATCATTTTTTTCATATGGACAGTAACAACAGGTCACTCGCTGCACAGATGAAAAGAGAGCCAAGGCTGCTGCCTTTCCCAGCTCTTATTATGGCAGCTTTCATTGTTTTTTATTTTCCTTTCAAAGTGGGCAATGAAGGAAAGATGAAGGCACAGATTTTGTCATTTCACAGCTCTGTGTTGCTTGATAGGACACAAACCATGTGTGTGTGAGCTCACATCAAATGTATTTGTAGCCTAATTTCAGGACATGCGGCTCTTTTCAGCAGCTGTTTCCTAAAGCAGGGTAGCTCTAGCATAGTCAGACTGAAAGAACATTTTTCTCTCTGTGTAGCATCCGTTACACAGCTTAATTGTAAGAAATAGATTTGTTAATTTTTCGGTAAGAACAGTCTGTTTTGAAGGCATTGCTGGCTGATTTCTAGGGTGTTCTGTGTGAAACTGTCATCCGCAGCTGTCAGCGTTCTTCAGGTCTCGCATAGGATTCAAAATTCCTTCTTTCTCTTCTTCCTCCTGTCAATGTCCCTCTTCCTCTCTCTTTCAGTGTGGTAGACCCCTTCTGTGCTTTCTCAGGGTCCATTCGTGCGGTTTTACGGTGCCCATGGGGGCTCTGGAGGAAGCAGGGAGAGCAATGTGTCCTTGTGCCCTCTCAGCAGGGTTTTTCTCTCCCATCAGCCCATTCGCTGGAGCAGATTCAAATAACGCCATAAAACTGAATGCTAAATGTTGGCGTTATCTCGTCTGTAATGAAAAGCCCATGAAATTGATTTAATGCTGCAGCGCCTCTCTCAAGCAGCCTCTCACAGCGGAAACACAAAACAACAATGAGCCTCCGAGATCTAATAATTAACCCACCTAATCCGGCAAAGTTAATCTCTCGCAAGAACTTTGTTCCAGCGTTAACTTTGACGAAGGGAGAGAGGCCGCTAGGGGACAGAAGATGCTGTGCAGAGAAAGAGACGAGGGGGAGAAAGCAGCACAAATGACTTGTGACACTTTGGTGTAGGACACTTGTGCTCAGCAACAGCGAGCAGAGCGAAAGAGAGGCAGGGACGCGTGACCTGCATTAGCATTAGCATACTGATTTGTGTTTTGTGAAGAGATTAATGAGCTGAGGAAAGAAACAGGAAATGACATGCGTAATTTAAACCATAGAGACCACAGAGGTTTGGTATTATCTATAACCATCCTTAATCTGGAACTGTTTTATTTTTTTGTGTGCTGCACAAACTGAGCTATTATACACATGCCTACATCATGATTTTTTTGATATGACAGTTTTCCTTTTGATTTTATTCTTTTTTTTTTCATTTGTTTTTTTATTTGTCTCTTTTTATTAAGGTTAGCCATATGTCAACTATTTTTCATTTTTTTTATTGACTGGCCATATGGCAAATTTTCTCTTCATTTTATACATTTTTATAAAAATTATTTTTCCATTTTTTTTGTTTTGTTTTTCAGTAGCCATATGACCAATTTACTCCAAATTGTATTCTTTTTTTAAATGTTTTTATGTAATTTGTCATTTTTAAAAATGTTTAATGTAATTTATTTAGGTTTATCTTTAGAGTGACCATATGGCAGATTATCTCTTAATTTTATTTATTAATTTTTAACCCCCCTAATTTTAGCTATATGGCACATTTTCTCTAACACTAATCTCTTATTTCACCCCATCACCCCATCTAACCTACAAACATTGAGTTACCAGTCTCAAATCTTTACCTACTAAGCCACTCTACCTTCTGAGTTGTGGGTTACAGTCTGGTGTAATGACATGCTGTAGATGGGCATTAGACCCCCTTGTAATTACATTTGTTATGAAATAATAGAGCCGTAGATACTCCGGCCTGGTGGGTTTTTAGTTGGCTTCTACAATCATGTTGATTATGTTTGATTAAATTGTTTGAACACTGAACTCGTGACTGTTGTTAAATATGTAGATACTTCAGCGGTCTCGGTTTACCACAAACAAATTGCATGCTGTGAAACACAATGCCATTCAACAGAGTTTGCCTGGTTGTTCAGTATTGAGTAGAAATCAGCAATGACTGATTCATTTTTTCTCATAAACTTTCAAAAAGCACATTTAGATGAGCTGTATGGACACACACACACAGTCATTATTACCTGCCATTATGGACCTTAAAGAGAGCCGCATGCCCTCTGATGCTTCTCAATGAGATAATAGGCACTCAGCTGCAAGCAATTAATCCCACAATCCTCTGCTCTCAGCTCTGCTCTGTCCGCTCACGCTCCATGTCCACTATACAAATGATCACACTGATGGATTGAGCTCTGATGCATCTCAGTCAACTCTACTAACACATGAGGGAAGACAGGCGCTGTGTTAAATCCTCTAGTGGTGTTTGGGCAAACAAGTACATTTGTCCTCCCAGTGGAGTAATCGTTTTTATAAATACCCATAATTCTGTGCTGCTCGCCTCGCATGAGAGTGTTATTGTGAAAGCCGTCTAAAGTGAGTGCAAATGAACTTTAATATGTTGCATTTTTTCTGAGCTGGTGTGTGAAAGAAAAAGCTGATGGTCCCTCCATGGGCAACGAGTTCCTGTGCTGTCTGTAATTAAAATGTTGCCAGGAAAGAGAGAGAGAGGCTGTAGTAGGGCTGGGCGATATAGCTAAAAAAAATGTATCAACGGTCACTTACATCATCATCACCGCATCTCGTGCTCCACTGATGACGCTCCTTGAAGCACATCTAATGTTGGATTGTTCTATTTTTGCATTCAAATGCAAATGTTTATTTTAAATTCGACTAATATTCATTCTTTACTCACAATCTCCTCATCACAGGCAGGCACAGCACTCATGTTCGTGTTCGTGTGTGCTGTCTGCGTCACTCATAGCACGTGCCTATATCGTGCTCTATATCGAACATTTTTTATATCGTTATC